AGTCAGTAAGCCACTCAGCCAGTCAGTAAGCTACTCAGCCAGTCAGTAAGCCACTCAGCCAGTCAGTAAGCTACTCAGCCAGTCAGTAAGCCACTCAGCCAGTCAGTAAGTCACTCAGCCAGTCAGTAAGCCACTCAGCCAATCAGTAAGCCACTCAGCCAGTCAGTAAGTCACTCAGCCAGTCAGTAAGCCACCCAGCCAGTCAGTAAGCCACTCAGCCAGTCAGTAAGCAACTCAGCCAGTCAATAAGCCACCCAACCAGTCAGTAAGCCACTCAGCCAGTCAGTAAGTCACTCAGCCAGTCAGTAAGTCACTCAGACAGTCAGTAAGCCACTCAGCCAGTCAGTAAGTCACTCAGCCAGTCAGTAAGCCACTCAGCCAGTCAGTAAGTCACTCAGCCAGTCAGTAAGCAACGCAGCCAGTCAGTAAGCAACTCAGCCAGTCAGTAAGCCACTCAGCCAGTCAGTAAGCCACTCAGACAGTCAGTAAGCCACTCAGTCAATCAGTAAGTCACTCAGACAGTCAGTAAGCCACTCAGCCAGTCAGTAAGTCACTCAGCCAGTCAGTAAGTCACCCAGCCAATCAGTAAGCAACTCAGCCAGTCAGTAAGCCACTCAGCCAGTCAGTAAGCCACCCAGTCAGTCAGTAAGCCACTCAGCCAGTCAGTAAGTCACTCAGCCAGTCAGTCAGCCAGTCAGCAAGTCAGTAAGCCACTCAGCCAGTCAGTCAGCCACTCAGCCAGTCAGTAAGCCACTCAGACAGTCAGTAAGCAACTCAGCCAGTCAGTAAGTCACTCAGCCAGTCAGTCAGCCACTCAGCCAGTCAGTAAGTCACTCAGCCAGTCAGTCAGCCAGTCAGCAAGTCAGTAAGCCACTCAGCCAGTCAGTAAGTCACTCAGCCAGTCAGTAAGCCACCCAGCCAGTCAGTAAGCCACTCAGCCAGTCAGTAAGTCATTCAGCCAGTCAGTAAGCCACTCAGCCAGTCAGTAAGTCACTCAGACAGTCAGTAAGTCACTCAGCCAGTCAGTAAGCCACTCAGCCAGTCAGTAAGCCACTCAGCCAATCAGTAAGTCACTCAGCCAGTCAGTAAGTCACTCAGCCAGTCAGTAAGTCACTCAGCCAGTCAGTAAGTCACTCAGCCAGTCAGTAAGCAACTCAGCCAGTCAGTAAGTCACTCAGCCAGTCAGTAAGCAACTCAGCCAGTCAGTAAGTCACTCAGCCAGTCAGTAAGTCACTCAGCCAGTCAGTAAGTCACTCAGCCAGTCAGTAAGCCACCCAGCCAGTCGGTAAGCCACTCAGCCAGTCAGTAAGCCACTCAGCCAGTCAGTAAGCCACTCAGCCAGTCAGTAAGTCACTCAGCCAGTCAGTAAGCCACCCAGCCAGTCAGTAAGCCACTCAGCCAGTCAGTAAGTCACTCAGCCAGTCAGTAAGTCACTCAGCCAGTCAGTAAGCCACTCAGACAGTCAGTAAGTCACTCAGCCAGTCAGTAAGCCACTCAGCCAGTCAGTAAGCCACTCAGCCAATCAGTAAGTCACTCAGCCAGTCAGTAAGAAACTCAGCCAGTCAGTAAGTCACTCAGACAGTCAGTAAGTCACTCAGCCAGTCAGTAAGCCACTCAGCCAGTCAGTAAGTCACTCAGCCAGTCAGTAAGCAACTCAGCCAGTCAGTAAGTCACTCAGACAGTCAGTAAGCTACTCAGCCAGTCAGTAAGCCACTCAGCCAGTCAGTAAGCCACTCAGCCAGTCAGTAAGCCACTCAGCCAGTCAGTAAGTCACTCAGCCAGTCAGTAAGTCACTCAGACAGTCAGTAAGTCACTCAGCCAATCAGTAAGTCACTCAGCCAGTCAGTAAGTCACTCAGCCAGTCAGTAAGCAACGCAGCCAGTCGGTAAGCCACCCAGCCAGTCAGTAAGCCACTCAGCCAGTCAGTAAGTCACTCAGCCAGTCAGTAAGCCACTCAGCCAGTCAGTAAGCCACTCAGACAGTCAGTAAGCCACTCAGACAGTCAGTAAGCCACTCAGACAGTCAGTAAGTCACTCAGCCAATCACCAGGCTATTCACAAATATAGTCACACACCCAGCCAGCAACTCAACCATTAATTACAGCCAGCCACCCACTCGGTCAATTGCAAACTCAGCCAGTCAATAGTCAGTCACTCAATCAGTCACCCAATCACCCATCCAGCCACTCACCCAGCCACTCACTCAGCCCAGTCTCCAAAGCGAGTCACTCACTGACGCAGTGACCCAAATGAGCCAGTCACTCACCCAGCTAGTCACTCACTCGCTCAGCGAGTCATCCACTGGACCAGTCACCCAAATGAGTCATTCATCCACCTGGTCACTCACGCGCTCGCTCAGCCAGTCACCCAAACGAGTCAGTCACTCACCCAGCTAGTCGGTCACTCGCTCACTCAGCGAGTCACCCACTGAGCCAGTCACTCACCGAGTGAGTCACCCACTGAGCGAGTCACCCACCCACTCAGTCACCCACTGACTTAGTCATTTACTGACTCAGTCACTTACTGACTCAGTCACCCACTGACTTAGTCACTTACTGACTCAGTCACTTACTGACTCAGTCACCCACTGACTCAGTCACCCACTGACTCAGTCACCCACTGACTTAGTCACTTACTGACTCAGTCACCCACTGACTCAGTCACCCACCAAGCAGTCACTCACTGACTCAGTCACCTACTGACTCAGTCACCCACTGACTTAGTCACTTACTGACTCAGTCACTTACTGACTCAGTAACCCACTGACTCAGTCACCCACTGACATAGTCACTTACTGACTCAGTCACTTACTGACTCAGTCACCCACTGACTCAGTCACCCACTGACTCAGTCACCCACCGAGCGAGTCACCCACTGACTCAGTCACCCACTGGCTCAGTCACCCACTGGCTCAGTCACCCACTGGCTCAGTCACCCACTGACTCAGTCACTCACTGACTCAGTCACCCACTGGCTCAGTCACCCACTGACTCAGTCACTCACTGACTCAGTCACCCACCAAGCAGTCACCCACTGACTCAGTCACTCACTGACTCAGTCACCCACTGACTCAGTCACTCACTGACTCAGTCACCCACTGACTCAGTCACCCACTGACTCAGTCACCCACTGACTCAGTCACCCACTGGCTCAGTCACTCACTGACTCAGTCACCCACTGACTCAGTCACCCACTGAGCGAGTCACCCACTGACTCAGTCACCCACTGACTCAGTCACTCACTGACTCAGTCACCCACTGACTCAGTTACTCACTGACTCAGTCACCCACTGACTCAGTCACCCACTGACTCAGTCAGTTACTGACTCAGTCACTCACTGACTCAGTCACCCACTGACTCAGTCACCCACCAAGCAGTCACCCACTGACTCAGTCACCCACTGACTCAGTCACCCACTGACTCAGTCACTCACTGACTCAGTCACCCACTGACTCAGTTACTCACTGACTCAGTCACCCACTGACTCAGTCACCCACTGACTCAGTCAGTTACTGACTCAGTCACTCACTGACTCAGTCACCCACCAAGCAGTCACCCACTGACTCAGTCACCCACTGACTCAGTCACCCACTGACTCAGTTACTCACTGACTCAGTCACCCACTGACTCAGTCACCCACTGACTCAGTCAGTTACTGACTCAGTCACCCACTGAGCGACATCGTGGCTCAACTCACCGTGGCCCGTGCTGTAGGTTCGAGAAGAGGCGTGGTTGTTGTTGTTGTGGTGGTGGTTGTGGTGGTTGTTGTTGTGGTGGTTGTTGTTGTGGTGGTTGTTGTTGTGGTGGTGGTTGTTGTTGTGGTGGTTGTTGTTGTTGTGGTGGTTGTGGTGGTTGTTGTTGTGGTGGTTGTTGTTGTGGTGGTGGTTGTTGTTGTTGTGGTTGTTGTTGTGGTGGTTGTTGTTGTGGTGGTGGTGGTTGTTGTTGTGGTGGTTGTGGTGGTGGTTGTTGTTGTGGTGGTGGTTGTGGTGGTGGTTGTTGTGGTGGTGGTTGTTGTTGTTGTGGTGGTTGTTGCTGTTGTTGTGGTTGTTGTTGTGGTGGTTGTTGCTGTTGTTGTGGTTGTTGTTGTGGTGGTTGTTGCTGTTGTTGGTCTGGCGGCGATGCTGGCGATGCTGCTGATGATGCTACTGATGATGCTGATGGTGCTGATGCTACTGATGCTGCCTAATTATACTGTAGTGATCTTTATACTGCTGCTGATGATGATGCTACTGATGATGCTGATGGTGCTGATGCTACTGATGCTACTGATGCTGCCTAATTATACTGTAGTGATCTTTATACTGCTGCTGATGGTGCTGATGCTACTGCCTAATTATACTGTAGTGATCTTTATACTGCTGCTGCTGATGATGCTGCCTAATTATACTGTAGTGATCTTTATACTGCTGCTGATGATGATGCTACCTAATTATACTGTAGTGATCTTTATACTGCTGCTGATGATGATGCTACCTAATTATACTGTAGTGATGTTTATACTGCTGCTGCTGATGATGATGCTACTGATGGTGCTGATGCTACTGCTGCTGCCTAATTATACTGTAGTGATCTTTATACTGCTGCTGATGGTGCTGATGCTACTGATGCTGCTGCTGATGATGCTGATGCTGCTACTGCTGCTGCCTAATTATACTGTAGTGATGTTTATACTGCTGCTGATGGTGCTGATGCTGCTGATGTTACTGCTGCTGCTGATGATGATACTGCTACTGTACAATAACCGTGACATCTCCGCTGTGTTACCGAATATTAAAATTACTGCCGCTTCATGATGATGGTGGTGCTGCTGCTGATGGTGGTGGTGGTGCTGGTGGTGCTGCTGATGGTGGTGGTGGTGCTGGTGGTGGTGGTGCTGGTGGTGCTGATGGTGGTGGTGCTGCTGATGGTGCTGCTGATGGTGGTGGTGCTGATGATGGTGGTGGTGCTGCTGATGGTGCTGATGGTGATGGTGCTGGCGATGCTATATTCGTCACCACTCACCTGGCAGAGGAAGACGGCGCCTTGCGAATGATAATCGTGTCGAGAGAGCGAGCTGGGAGGAAGGGAGAGAGAGAGAGAGACGGAGTGTGACGAGTGTGAGAGAGTGTGAGTGAGAGAGTGTGAGTGAGTGTGACACGAGTGTGAGTGAGTGTGAGTGAGTGTGAGTGAGAGAGTGTGACGAGTGTGACGAGTGTGAGAGAGAGTGTGAGTGAGAGAGTGTGAGTGAGAGAGTGTGACACGAGTGTGAGTGAGAGAGTGTGAGTGAGTGTGACACGAGTGTGAGTGAGAGAGTGTGAGTAAGTGTGACGAGTGTGTGTGAGTGAGTGTGACGAGTGTGTGAGAGAGAGTGAGAGAGTGTGACACGAGAGAGAGAGTGTGACTGAGAGAGTGTGACACGAGTGAGAGAGAGAGTGTGACTGAGAGAGTGTGACACGAGAGAGAGAGAGTGTGACACGAGTGAGAGAGAGAGAGTGTGACTGAGAGAGTGTGACACGAGAGAGTGTGACACGAGAGAGAGAGAGTGTGACACGAGTGAGAGAGAGTGTGACTGAGAGAGTGTGACACGAGAGAGTGTGACACGAGAGAGAGAGAGATGGTGGTGGTGGTGGTGTTGGTGTTGTGAGAGAGGCAACAGGCGAAGGGAGGAGCCCGCGGGGTCTCCACCACAGCGCAGAGCGCCACCCACGGCTCACGCCACGTGCACTGCACCACGTGCTGCGTCTACACTACACGTACTGTACTGTGTACTGTACTGTACTGTGTACACTACACATACTGTACTGTGTACTGTACTGTGTGTACACTACACATACTGTACTGTACTGTGTACACTACACCCACGGCTCACGCCACGTGCACTGCACCACGTGCTGCGTCTACACTACACATACTGTACTGTGTACTGTACTGTGTGTACACTACACATACTGTACTGTGTACTGTACAGTGTGTACACTACACCCACGGCTCACGCCACGTGCACTGCACCACGTGCTGCGTCTACACTACACGTACTGTACTGTGTACTGTACTGTGTGTACACTACACATACTGTACTGTACTGTGTACACTACACCCACGGCTCACGCCACGTGCACTGCACCACGTGCTGCGTCTACACTACACATACTGTACTGTGTACTGTACTGTGTACACTACACTTACTGTACTGTACTGTGTACACTACACCCACGGCTCACGCCACGTGCACTGCACCACGTGCTGCGTCTACACTACACGTACTGTACTGTGTACTGTACTGTGTGTACACTACACATACTGTACTGTACTGTGTACACTACACCCACGGCTCACGCCACGTGCACTGCACCACGTGCTGCGTCTACACTACACATACTGTACTGTGTACTGTACAGTGTGTACACTACACATACTGTACTGTGGTGTGTACACTACACTTACTGTACTGTACTGTGTACACTACACCCACGGCTCACACCACGTGCACTGCAGCACGTGCTGCGTCTACACTACACATACTGTACTGTGTACTGTACTGTGTGTACACTACACATACTGTAGTGTGTACACTACAATTACTGTACTGCGTACTGTACTGTGTACACTACACATACTGTACTGTACTGTGTACACTATATCCACGGCTCACGCCACGTGCACTGCACCACGTGCTGCGTCTACACTACACATACTGTACTGTGTACTGTACAGTGTGTACACTACACCTACTGTACTGTGTACACTACACATACTGTACTGTACTGTGTACACTACACCCACGGCTCACACCACGTGCACTGCAGCACGTGCTGCATCTACACTACAATACTGTACTGTGTACTGTACTGTAGTGTGTACACTACACATACTATACTGTAGTGTGTACACTACACGTACTGTACTGTACTGTGTACACTACACGCACGGCTCACGCCACGTGCACTGCACGACGTGCTGCGTCTACATTACACATACTGTACTGTGTACTGTACTGTAGTGTGTACACTACACATACTGTACTGCATACAGTACACACTATAGTAGTTCCACTATAGTACAGTATACACACTACACTACATACAGTACACATTATAGTAGTTACAGTACAGTATACACTACACTACATACAGTACCCACTATAGTAGTTACAGTACAGTATACACTAGTAGTTACACTATAGTACAGTATACACACTACACACAGTACACACTATAGTAGTTACACTATAGTACAGTATACACTACACTACATACAGTACACACTATAGTAATTACACTACAGTATAGTATACACACTACACTATATACAGTACGCACTATAGTAGTTACACTATAGTATAATACACACACTACACTACATACAGTACACACTATAGTAATTACAGTACAGTATACACTACACTACATACAGTACACACTATAGTAATCACAGTACAGTATACACACTACATATAGTACACACTATAGTAGTTACAGTACAGTATACACTACATTACATACAGTACACACTATAGTAGTTACACTATAGTACAGTATACACTACACTACATACAGTGCACTATAGTAGTTACACTACAGTACAGTATACACACTGCACTACATACAGTACCCACTATAGTAGTTACAGTACAGTATTCACTACACTACATACAGTACACACTATAGTAATCACACTACAGTACAGTATACACTACACTACATACAGTACACACTATAGTAATTGCACTACAGTATAGTATACACACTACACTACATACAGTACGCACTTTAGTAGTTACACTATAGTACAGTATACACACTACACTACATACAGTACACACTATAGTAATTACACTACAGTATAGTATACACACTACACTACATACAGTACACACTATAGTAGTTACACTATAGTACAGTATACACACTACATTACATACAGTACACACTATAGTAATTACAGTACATTATACAAACTACACTACATACAGACACACTGGTAATTACACTACAGTACAGTATACACTACATACAGTACACACTATAGTAATTACAGTACAGTATACACTACATACAGTACACACTACATACAGTACACACTATCGTAATTACACTACAGTACAGTATACACACTACACTATATACAGTACGCACTATAGTAATTACACTACAGTACTGTATACACAGCACACTACGTACAGTACACACTATAGTAATGACAGTACAGTATACACACTACATACAGTTCACACTATAGTAATTACACTACAGTACAGTATACACACTACACTACATACAGTACACTATAGTCATTACAGTATAGTATACACCACACTACGTACAGTAATACTATAGTAATTACAGTGCAGTATACACCCTACATACAGTACACACTGTAGTAATTGCAACACAGTATACACACTACACTACATACAGTACACACTATAGTAATTACACTACAGTACAGTATACACTACACTACATACAGACACACTGTAGTAATTACAGTACAGTACACACTACACTGCATACAGTACATACTATAGTAATTACAGTACAGTATACACTGCACTGCATACAGTACACACTGTAGTAATTACACTACAGTATACACACTGCGCTGCATACAGTACACACTGTGGTAATTGCAGTACAGTACACACTACACTGCATACAGTACACACTGAATAATTACACTACAGTACAGTATACACTACGCTGTATACAGTACACACTGTAGTAGTTACACTACAGTACAGTATACACACTACACTACTGTTACTGCTGTTGCCCATAGCACCTGTTACCGCTGCTGCCCATAGCACCTGTTACTGCTGTTGCCCATAGCACCTGTTACCGCTGTTGCTCATAGCACCTGTTACTGCTGTTGCCCATAGCACCTGTTACCGCTGCTGCCCATAGTACCTGTTACTGCTGTTACCCATAACACCTGTTACTGCTGTTTCCCATAGCACCTGTTACTGCAGTTGCCCATAGCACCTGTTACTGCTGTTTCCCATAGCACCTGTTACTGCTGTTTACCATAGCACTTGTTACTGCTGTTGCCCATAGCACCTGTTACTGCTGTTTCCCATAGCACCTGTTACTGCTGCTGCCCATAGCACCTGTTACTGCTGTTGCCCATAGCACCTGTTACTGCTGTTGCCCATAGCACCTGTTACTGCTGCTGCCCATATCACCTGTTACTGCTGTTGCCCATAGCACCTGTTACTGCTACTGCCCATAGCACCTGTTACTGCTGTTGCCCATAGCACCTGTTACCGCTGTTGCCCATAGCACCTGTTACTGCTGTTGCCCATTGCACCTGTTACCGCTGTTGCTCATAGCACCTGTTACCGCTGCTGCCCATAACACCTGTTACTGTTGTTGCCTATAGCACCTGTTACTGCTGTTGCCCATTGCACCTGTTACTGCTGCTGCCCATAACACCTGTTACTGCTGTTTCCCATAGCACCTGTTACTGCTGCTGCCTATAGCACCTGTTACTGCTGTTACCCATAGCACCTGTTACTGCTGTTGCCTATAGCACCTGTTACTGCTGCTGCCTATAGCACCTGTTACTGCTGTTGCCTATAGCACCTGTTACTGCTGTTGCCCATAGCACCTGTTACTGCTGCTGCCCATAGCACCTGTTACTGCTGTTGCCTATAGCACCTGTTACTGCTGCTGCCCATAACACCTGTTACTGCTGTTTCCCATAGCACCTGTTACTGCTGTTGCCCATAGCAGCTGTTACCGCTGTTGCCTATAGCACCTGTTACCGCTGCTGCCCATAGCACCTGTTACTGCTGCTGTCCATAGCACCTGTTACTGCTGTTGCCTATAGCACCTGTTACTGCTGCTGCCTATAGCACCTGTTACTGCTGTTACCCATAGCACCTGTTACTGCTGTTGCCTATAGCACCTGTTACTGCTGTTGCTCATAACACCTGTTACTGCTGCTGTCCATAGCACCTGTTACTGCTGTTGCCCATAGCACCTGTTACTGCTGCTGTCCATAGCACCTGTTACTGCTGCTGCCCATAACACCTGTTACCGCTGTTGCCCATAGCACCTGTACGTTTTCACTTGTGTGTTTAACTGTTGTTATTTTAAAGATGGCATTTCTGCTGTGTATCCTACTGCTGTCCCTCCCGGCCATATCTAGTGCCACACTCAACTCCACCACTGGCAGTCCT